GCGTGGCAAAAAGAAACAAAGAAAAGGACAGAAAACAGCCATGTGATTATCACTCTGATATTTTATTGAAATAGCATAACTAGCTTAACAAATTGCCTTAACGAACAGCGCGAGTGATAAGTTGTCCTCGCAATGCGTCGGACACCTGGTGAGACCATTTTCTTTATTTCATCGAAGAATAACGAGCTGGAAAATGTAAGCAAATTACCACCCTTTTAAGCGCATGCCCAATGAAAGGCTCATGATAATAACAAATTGGTAACATGTGAAAAAAAAAACGATTGCTATGTGCATCTTCTTGAAAACTTCTTGGATTAAGACAAGTTCATAACGTTTAATTGAATATTTTACAACATTGTTTTAACAATATGTGTTAACTGACAGCAAATGGCACCCATTCTGTTTCGTAAGTTTTGTATCTTGAAAACAATGTTCCGTGTCATTCTCTAAATAAGAAATGTATGATATACCCTCGTTTTATGTGGCCTCTATCAAAACAAACTGTAGCACAACTACAGCTTAGGAGCTGAACATTTTTGATGCTTTATCACCGTCAAACGAAATTGTCATGCGCCCATGCAGGTGAAAGGGAAAAGGACGTAAACATTTATAGATGACCTCATCTTGCACTATCAATAAACAAAAATGGAAACACTGTCCTTTTTATCATCGAATGCTAAAATAGAAGACACATTCCTGAGCCCCTTGCTCTGTGTCGGACATTTTACCCTAACATATTAGGCTATTTGTTCATCAACAGACATACGAACACTCCTAAACCGCACCACGGCAAAGAACAGAGCTACAACGAACAACAGCAGCAGGAAAATGTGGTCAAAAATGATCAGAGCTGTTGGCATGGCGACAGTGAACTCGGTAAATTTGTCAACTCTGACGAACAGCAACGTGGAAACGTTGCTAGGCGGCGTCTGAAGCACCGGAGATTTTCAGCTCTGGCTTCAGCGTCAATGCCTTGGTGTAGAGATGATAAAGCGATCCATGCTATCTGAAACAACAGAGGGGCATCAAGAAAAAATGGAATAATGCAATTCTATTATAGCGCTTTGTTCTGCATGATTGTAGTTTTTTAAGACCAACAGAGTATCTATAAATCCACCGATTCAAAGGACAATCTAAATAAACACTAAACACGATACAATAAAACCTTACAGTACATGTAAGGTACATATTCAAAACAAAATAAAAAATCACTGATCTTTTTGTGAGCAAAAATAGATCATATATCGGATCGGAGCTGTATGGAACTCCCTAAAAATGCAACAGTTTTATAGTGGCGCTATCTGTAACACTAATTTTTATCACGCAGTAATTTTACGCAGCAGTAATCGCCACGCCATGTGTGGATCGCCCATGATCGTAAATACATACATACATACATACATACATACATAATTTTCAGTAAGTCTTGCAACAGTGGTCATCCAGTAGAATGTTAACGATGATCATCATTTCAAAACGAACACATTTTGATTTTGCCAAGCATAGAACATTTCCAGTAAAATCATTCGTAAGATATGGCTGTCGTGCATACGATCCGTCATCTATTTCGGCAATTTTTGACAACTGGAAAAGATGTCCACGACGTACAGGCTCTTTGGATCACCACGGACAATCTGCACGCTACATAAAGGAAATGTATAGACCTCTTTTCAGTCATTCCATTTTTTTCTAGCTCATAACTCGCACAAAACGCTGTAAAAAGGAGTGCTGGCGCAGCGATCCCTATTGGCACTTTCTTTTGGATCGTCGACTGCAATAAACAACACGCATGATAAAAAGAAAATCGTAAAAAAAATATTGACCTTCATTTACTTTCATGCAATCAAAAACACACAGCACAGCATACAAGAAAAGCACAAAGGCAACAACAAAACCAAGTACAAAAAACAACAACAATAACATAAGAGAACTCACCATTCAGCAATGCCCGTTGCTTTGCGTTTTTGCTTCTACCATACAGCTCCGTACAAAATGGTCCACAAGATCTCAGCTTTGTAGCGGGATCTGTCAGCTGTGTGGTCGTCCGCGGCTGTTTCACTGTTCCTCGACCCCTCACTGTAGATCCGCGGTAGCTCCTCTTCCTGAACGTCCTCTCACGTCGTGGTCTGTTTCGTTCTTTGTCGTCCCTCGTCACTGGCTTTTGTTTGCTGTGATCAGCGGTCTCTCCACTCGATAGTGGTCCTGCTGGCTTGTGATCTCCTCTCTCAGCCGACGGTCTGGTCTGTCCGGGGGCGCTGTGGTCCTGCTGGTCCGTGGTCCGTGGTCCGTGGTCCGTGGTCCGTGGTCCTGATGGTCCGTGGTCCGTCCGACCGGCCCGTCGGCTCTCCAGCTACTGGCTGAGCTCTGACCGACTCGATATTGGCGGAGAGCGCAGCGAACGGATGAGAGAGAGGGAGGGAGAGAGAGATAGAGGGAGGGAGAAGGGGAGGGAAAGAAAGAGAGAGAGAGGGAGGTGAGAGAGAGAGAGAGAGAGAGAGAGAGAGGGGGAGAAAGAGAGGGGGAGAGAGAGGGAGGGAGGGAGAGAGAGAGAGGAAGGAGAGAGAGTAGAGAGAGAGAGAGGGAGGGAGGGAGAGGGAGAGAGATAGAGGAGGAAACGGCTGGAAAGCGGAGCTGATAAGACGGTTGAAAAGAGATAGGTAGATAGATGGAGAGGAATATAACAGGAATATCGAAAAGCACATATAACACAGATGCTCAGAAAACAATACAAGAAAAGAGGAAAAACAAAGTAATGAATGCATAAAAATGCCGCTAGCCGATCGCCAGAAATGATCGGATCTCCCCGTCTGACGGAAGAGCGGGATCTTTACCGCCCGAGTACTGCTGCGAGAGCGGACCCCCCCTACCCCCGGCACAGGGGGGTCTGTCTGAGAAACGTGCAGTGAGTGGGCCTGATCGACAGCTCCTACTCTCAGGGGGGGGGGGGAGGGAGCATCTGTCCACTGCTCCGGAGGTATTAGATGGATGGGGTGGCGGTAAGAGGAACCCAGGAAAATGGGATTAAGTGGGGTACAGTAAATGGACAGATACAGTAGAGGAGAAACACCGCGGAGAACGCCGTCAGGAGCAGGATGGGACAGGAAGGGAAATTATCAGTGCGCGTACGTGTGTGGGAATGAGTATTTTTTTTCATCCAATTTGAATTCTTAGGAGCAGCAACCGCCTATAGCACTGCTCATTAGGCAGCGTAGTCTTTAACTTATATCCGTCACGAAGTCAAAGTCACGACACTCGAAGATGTTTTGCCGAGTCACGAATAAAAAACTCTCTGAAGAACCAGTGCCTGTGTTGTTGTGTTCAAGATACAATAATGGAGCACTGACACTAATGGCGCTAAAGTTATGACACTGACTAAGGTATGACACTTTTGAAGCTAAGAAAGCAGCTAACTTACGACTTACGTCGTCAGAGTTTCTGTACGCAATGTTGTGCGGTGGTAACTTGTAATGCAAGCTGCTAAGGCAATGACTAATGCACTGATGACACAGCGATATAACCAATGCTGGGAAATTTGAAGTGAATTTTGACAGCAGGACACCCTCCACTCCCATCAAAAGTTCAAACTAGCAAAAGAACAACAGACAACTGTCGCCTTGTTTTGGCATGTGTGCCAGAGACATGCCATGTTCTCGTTACTACTTAAACTTTCCCATAATAGGAACAAACATTCCGCGCAGCCTTATCTGCCGAAACAGAAAAACGCGCGAACATTCGGTCTCATCACAAGTGATATTGAGCTTTAAAGGGACAGTAGGTATATCATCATTTTGATGAAGTTTGATATTACATAGGCCCCACCTTTCTGGTCCGGGAACTGAAGACCGATCCTCGAAGCTTCACACTGTTCTCCCGCTATCGCCACTCAAAGTACGAAATGTGCACTACACTTTGAATCGTGCAGAATCGCGCACCACTATTCTCACTGTTCAAATGTTTGTTACATGGTGGTGTGGGTCACTCATAGAGTGTATCCATTAATTGAAGGTGTTCCGCCGCCACTGATACGGTGGTGACATACTTAGATCCCATTGTCCACCATTCTCTTTTTATGGGTATGAAAAAGGCACGGCTATCGTTGACGCTAGGCACACAAGAAAATGAGCTCCACCAGAACTGTTAACGAGAACTCAGAATGACAGTAATCACATTTAGCTCGAGTTAGAGCACGGTGAAAAGGTCCATGACTTCATTCCTTGAGCCTTGCTATATCGAAGGGTTTCAGGAACTGGGTGTGCTGATAAAAATTGATCCGTCTACTTTTATGAAGAAGCTGATGTAGCGGCTCATGGTAGCGTGGCTCGGCTTGTAAGTGTAAATGTCCATCCATTTCCACAATGAGCCACCCGCAAATGTGCTTCAGCCGACCTTGTGTCGTCTGCCATGCCAGTCCACTTGCAGACTCATTACATAACACTCATCATGTATTACAAACGAATCCAAGCATCAGCCTCGGTATGACGCAATGCCAGAAAAGTGCAAATCGGATTTTTCCCTTTAATCACAAATTGATGAATTTGTAATACTGCTATGATTCGTAATTATCTATAACTCAAACAAAGGAGTAGTTGGCAACAATCAGAAGGCATCCAACTTAGTTTCTGTAAAATTTCAACAAATAAGCTGTCTGCTGAGAGGTGAAATTTATTATAGCACAGGTTACATTTATTGTAAGGTATGTACAGTCATCAAGCGTAGTCAAAGAAGAACCTCTCCAAGAGCAATTATTAGCCTATAGTTGATGAAATGCAGTCTATCCACTCCTCGGTACACTGAAGAAATAGAGACTGTCGCTAGTGACTTTATTACTGAAGTTACTGGTCCGGAGGGGAGAGAGGGAGAGAGAGAGAGAGAGAGAGAGAGAGAGAGAGAGAGAGAGAGAGAGAGAGAGAGAGAGAGAGAGAGCGATAGAGAGAGAGGAAGAGAGAGAGAGAGAGAGAGAGAGAGAGAGAGAGAGAGAGAGAGAGAGAGAGAGAGAGAGAGAGAGAGAGAGAGAGAGAGAGAGAGAGAGAGAGAGAGAGAGAGAGAGAGAGAGAGAGAGAGACGAAAAAGACAAGACAGTCGGATGAGGAGCCAAGTGGAAAAGGATAGAGAAATGGAGGAACAGAAGGATAGACATAGATGAAATAACGACAAACCTAACCGAGCCAGTGTCTCACATCGCCACTCCTACACAACAAGAAGTGCCCAGGACGTCCCATCATCAGTCTTCGTCATTCTCCCCGCAGTTTTCCTTGCCTCGCCCTCTCGCGGCTCTACCCCCGTTCCCTTCAGCCGGTGCTCGCAGATGTATCCGTGTAAGGTACTCGGACCCATGTCATTCCACTCCTGCAGCTCCGCCGCCAGGTTAGTGGCTATGAACATGCCGTTGTGGTTTTCGTTCGGCTGCCCGCTGTACCAGGCGGTGTAGGTTACCGGTGAACCGTCCGTCCAGCGTGCGCCGTCAGCAGGAGCGCCCAGCGGCCAGAACATGCCGATGTGGAAGTAGACGCCGCCCGCCTGCCGGGCCAGGGTGGAGACGAAGACGTTCTCGGCTGCGGAGCTGATGGAGACCAAGTGGGAGCCGGTGCCGGCAGAGTTGCAGGCGATCTCGGCGTCCGGCCACGAGAGAATGGCGGGGAACACGCGGTAGCAGCCACCCGAGAAGACACTCCAGTCGGGGGGACAGGTCACTGGGGTGCAGCTGAAGCCCGGGTCGAGGCTAGGGTCGAGTCCCGGGTCAGGGTCACTCACTCGCAGACCCACGCAGAGCGGCTCGATGAGACAGCGGAGTCCACACTGGATCGCTGACCCGGTTCGCAGCGTGGTCAGAGCTGTGTGGTTGATGGGTGGGTCGGAGTTGAACCAGCGACCAGCTCCGGCGCTGGACGCTGGCAGCAGCACCATCACAGCAACCACCGCCAGCACCCGGACGGAGTGGCCGGGTCGGAGCGAGGTCATCGCTGTCGGTAGGCGGTAAGCGACGGAGGTGGGGAGACTTACAGAGACGAGAGAGACGGCGAGAGATTATTTCAGCCGCTGTGGAGACGGCGTAGAGATCAGACTCACTGGAGACGGCAGAGACACGTAACTTTTGAGCTCCAAGAGACGTTGAAGAGATGCAACGACACCTTTTTTGGAGACAGTAGAGACGTAGATTCTAGGAGACGTTGGATAGATTCAATGCCTCAGAGACAGATAGATGGTAGATAGACCAACGGTGTGTTCTCTTGAATAGTAGACTGAAGAAGGCTCAGTATGGGACTATAGTCCGTTTTTCTTAAGTTTGCCCCTCACTGTAAACGTCTCTTTGAACACAGCACGAGAATTGCTTGCTGAATTACTGAGAAAACTGGTAAGCGCACATTGTATTGTAGTTATGAATAATATTTTCAAAAATAAGTTTTGAACATCGACGATTTAACGTTATGTTAAGCGCCGTGCAATTTATTTATTAGTTCAGACATAGTTCCTGAGAAGTCGTCTATCCCTGTGAGGCTGTAGGCATTGGCAGATACGATTTACGAGTCTGTGAAATAGTAAATAAATTTGATGAAATTGATCGTCTGTGAAATCTGGTTAAATCAGTGTGCGCCAACCAGTTTTCTCAGTAATTCAGCTAGCAATTCTCGTGCTATGTTCAAAAAGACGTTTACAGTGAGGGTCAAACTTAAAAAAAAAAACGAACTATAGTAGTTTTTTGTCTGATGGCATATATTTTATGATAATCTTTCGAGCAGAGGTCAAAACAATGTGAAAATTAAAAAGTCAGCATGACAATAAACAGAAGGTAAAACGCTGCTCTTCCTCACAATAAGCTGAGCAAACCACTATGTTTCATTTAAAGTCTGCTCTGTTGAATAGGTTATGTCCAACACAACTTCAAGAAGCTTGTTTCCAGCTCGCTACCCGGACCACGTTCACCGTGTGGGTCCGTCAGTCACACTGACCGAGCACCATTACCCAGCGCGGTCCCCAGGGGTACTTATAGGTGCCCCGTCCCGCCCACTTGGAGTGCTTTGTCCACTTACCCCCGCCCCCCCCTCCCCTCCCTTACCGACGGGACTGTCAGTGAACCAGCCGACAGGCGGGGCTGGTGTCGAGGAAGGGTAGGACAGTCTGGTCAGTGGTCGGTAATGGAATCAGACGGACAGACAAACACAGAAAAGGACGGACGGACAGACAGGCTTACTTGCCTGTCAGGCAGGCATTCAGGTGCCTGCCTGGGAGGCACCTGAGTCCACCTGAGGCTCACTCACATAGACACACAAACTCACTGCACTGGGCACACAAACAGTAATGAGCACAATAGGTACTCTTAGAATTGTCATATCGCATAATTGTAATTTCGGACGATCGATGCACTTATGTTGCGTTGCTGTTTTTTGTTTTGCCCACGGAGAAGCGTGCCACACATTGCATGGACATTGGAAGAAACAAAGAGTTGTGTCTGCCCACAAAATGTCAACACAGCTGTTGCCAATAGCTAATATTTCCTAGTTGTTGTCACTGGTCAGTTGCCTAACATCGTCAAGTCACAGAAACATACCACGCCCGGACGAGGTGGGCCACATGTGCGACATCTATACCGTTGTCAGCTTGGTTTCAGATGGCGTGACTAGCCGATACGTGCAATTGCATTGCGTATTGCAGCCAGGGCATCAACTTCGCAATGATAAGCGCACCATAAACCAATGCGTAAAAGCAACCTTCTGAACTAATGACGACGGAAACAGTAACGACTAGCGCTCCTGGAAATGTTATCGGTGTTACGGAGTGGTTGAACGAGCCCACTTATGCTTCTTAGTTCTTGCCATATCAAACGCTCTGTCAAATAAGCCTTTATTCATTGATGCACGGTCCACAGACGCATACACTTGACATTGCATGAGCAGTGGCCTATGCATCCCATGAGCGCTTTCATGTAGGTTATGTTCCCTAATCCTGTTCGTCCAGATCTTCTATGAAAACCAGGTCAGTTCCCTTCATCTTTTCTTCCATCCACTTGTCAAACTTTTCCGTCATCTCGGGGGTGAAGTGGTTCTTCCAGTCACCTACCTTACCCTTCCTGATGAAGCTCCCTCGGTCCGGGTACATCAAACCAAGCGCCTTCATGTACTCATAGTTCACCCACGGGTTCTTCTTGAAGTTGTCAAAGTGAAGATGTTCTGCCAGCTTGTCCACCTGTTCGTCAGAGTAGTCCTTCCCCAGGAACTTGGACACCTTGCGGATCTGCGCAATCAGATCCTTCTTCATGTCCTCGTAGAAGAGGAAGCAAAGGTTGGGGTGGTGTCTCAGGTTCCACGCCTCGATTATGTGCTCAATCGTCCCGCTTTCGACAATATTCCCTTCCATGAAGTACTCCATAAACAGCTGAAATAAAGAACGTGGTTAGAATAAACGGTCTCAACAATGCTTTAGGACGATATGAACGCAATCGGAAGCGAAGCAATTCTGTGCAGCAAAACCCATCGTATGCGAGTCGATATCAAACATGTGCAGCTCGTACGCTGAAGTCCAGCCAGAGAAAGCATTTCATAAAACCATATGCGCTTGAGCAATGCATGTTGTCACATCTTTTGAGTGTAGATTATTTCACTTACTTTATCATTTTGACAACGCAAAATGACAGCTTGTTAGGGCTAGAAAAAGAAAATAATAATACATTTATTACTCAGCCAGAACAGAAAGTTTCCGACTTCAGAGAAAGTTGCCAACTCTCGGCTTCGTCATTACCTTCAGGCTCCCCATGAAATCGTGCAGACGCAGCAGCCTCATATGGTGGTAGAGCGAGACACAGACATCCTTGGGATTCCTGGCCACGTAGACCACCTTGCAGGTATCCAGAAGGCGCGGGTTGTTGAGAGAAAACGGCAGGTGCGACTTGACGAACCGCGGGGAGGGTCGGTTTGGATCGCTGGCAGCTGCGGGGCCGTTCGGGATGACACCCTGAGTTCTGAGCTTGGCGACAAACCCTTTGTCCAGAACGGCCTTGAACTCCATAAAACTCCACCTGGAAAATTCATGAATAAGTTTACACTACAACTTTGAACTCAACAAAGGGTTAACCCTATTAGTGGCAGGGGGGGGGTTGTTTTCATCCACCCCTCAGGTTTTTCGGGAATATATCCGAAACTGCTGAAGCTACGATGCTGAAATTTTCTGACTTTTCCTAAAACTAAATTGGGCACATTCCCTGAAAATTTCAAGTTCATAACTTTACCAGGGGCGGCTCCAGAGCACTGGGAATTGGGGGGGTCCTATTCGTGAAGCGAGTCATTTGGGCGAAGATCACGATGCTGATGTATCATAACTGTATGCACCAGTTTTACGAACAGTGAATGAAAGGTATCATGTGATAACATATACAAAGTTATTGTGCATCCTCTTTTGACACGTTTTTGCTATAATAGGCGGATCCAGGCGTCCAAAAAGGGGGGTTATGTTTTACCTCCCAACATAGGTGCCCTGACACCGCCTATGCATGACCAATACAATTGTAGTCGTTCTCTCATAAGAAAATTGTAACATAACAAGCAGAGGCGGATCCAGCTCAGAGGTTTGGGGGGGGGGGGGCAACCATAAAAATTTATCGATTCTTTCCATGCATCGTCCATAGGCGTAATGTTAAAATCATGCCGTTTGGGGGGGGGGGGCAAATGCCCATTTTGCCCCCCCCCCTGGATCCGCCACTGATAACAAGACCATTAACACCATTTTTAGAAACAGTACCAACAAAAACCTTATTTACTATACTTTTTGTGTACCTCCAATCTCAATTATCTGTATCCGCCTATGATTTTTGAAAATGCATATTTTTAGAATCCATGTGAATTCCTGGTTCATTCTCTATCGATCGGCAAAAGTTGCGTTAAGATTGGTTCAGAAACCTGGCCGTGATAAACAGTCTAAAATGTATCTGCAATTTGCACGTTTTTACCCCCCTCTTCCCCCCTATTGACATTTTTTAACTTTTATTTTTTAGAAATGTAGATCACGTTGAACGAAATCGAATGCCGTTTGAATTTTGAAAATCGGCCCGTTAGATCTCGAGATATCAAGGGGGGTCGTAAACAGCCCCCCCCCCCCCTGCCACTAATAGGGGTAGCCAGGAGCCTGCCACTAATAGGGTTAATGCAAAATTAAACAATAACAAAAATACAGTTTTAATTGTGAAACATTCCAACTGCATAAATGCTGGCAAAAGTTCCTTTTTACGACCGCAAACTTCGGTCGTAACAAACACAAACACACCGCAAACAGCAGTACTTCAGTTACGAAATCCCTTTAGGAGTGTTGCCTGAAATGCAGGAGAACGAAATGAAGCGTGACACTTTGGCACCGCTATCAGCCACCGCATCTATAAAGCAGACCTTTACTTCCCATAGTCGGTTCTTTTTAAAAGTGACAAGTATAGTACCGAATGAGCGCTTAAATTTCTAGCACTCGTCAATCGAGGAACGAACTATTCTAGTTGAACAAGGTAAGGACGATGAAAACTAACGTTTTTTTTTTACCTATGACCTGCAGTGCACTAAAAAAAAAGCTCTTATTATTCCCTGGGCCCTGTTTCGTGGCACTACGCTACAGCACGCTGAACGCATCGCTGTATTGGACTTCCATTGCAACATCAACAAACTCAGACGCTGTCGTGCCGTGAAATAGGGCCCAGGCGCCCACGGTTATAGCAGCGATGGTATGATCTGTTTCGCATATCGGCTCCGTGTTTGACCCGCGAGTGTGCCTCGGGGTAAGCGGCCGGCACTTCTGACCGAGACGGGGCGGCCGGCGGAGTTAGCTGCATTCTCAGCACAGCAGCTGAACACGCGTATTTTATGGTAAGTGACAACGCATCCCTCTGGTGACAGCTTGTTCTCACGACCCCTTGTGGGGGTTAGCCCTCGCCCTGGCAGGGCATTTTTCATAACACGGCCTGGCAGGGGGGGGGTCGATGCGACCCCCCTCGCGATTGGCTCCTATGGCACCTAGAAACACCAAATTTGGTAGGTAGGTGGGCCTCCTGGAGTTCTCGCCCCTGTGCAAATTTGGTTGCTCTAGGTCAATATTTAGGGGGGGTTTGGGGGTATGAATGTAAAAATTTCGCTAAAAACAGGTCAAACGTTTTTTGCTTATAACTTTTGAACTAACTAAGATAGAGAAAAAAGAAAAGCACCAGTGAACTCAGCACGTCAAGACGCGTCGAATGATGTACTTTTTCTGCTTGCTTAAGTGTACTTAAAGTTTTTCTTAATTTTTAAGTAAACTTAAATTAATTAATTAAGTTAACGTTAACCAAATTGCATCATATCGCATATCATTCGATTTGGCTGATCACCATATACACAATGACACCATTTTTTTAAGCTCTAGCGTCTGTATGTGCCAAGTTATTGGCAAAAACGTCATTTGACCTCACTTGACCTCATTTGACCTGACCCATGGATAAGTACATCAAACAAAGAAGCAACAAGTGACCTGCTGTTAAGTACTGTAGTTTCAAAGCACAAAAAGTGATAGAACGAAGCGGATATCTACAGTATTTTCCGAATTTAGTATTTTACCATAGGCTTAACATTACGACGTAATGACCTCTCTCCTGACCAGCTCTCCTGAGGGCTGGTTTTTGACCCTAGCACCCTCAGTGTGCTAAAAAATACACCCTCCAGGGTGCTAATTTTTTATCACCCTTCGGGTCTTAGATATGCGGTGCTAATTAAAAAGCATCTTGTTAGCCCCATACAGGAGCCATGGTGCTACGATTTTTATGGGTGCTAAAAAATAGCAGCCTCTTAGCCTGCTTAAAATAAGCCGGTGGGTGGTGCTCGTTTTTTACCATGGTACTAAAGTGCATTTAGCTGCTTGGTGGTGCTTAACTTTTTTTTACAGTGTAACCCTCGCCCTGGCAGGGGGGGTCGATGCGACCCCCCCCCCAAGGTTTTTCGAAGATAGCGTTAAAACGGCGGCGCGCAGCGCCGCCAAATTTGGCACAGCCTATGGGGAAACCTTTTTACATATGACCTGAAAATGTCAGGTCCGGGTGACCTTGGGTCAGGTCACCAGGTCAGAAAAACCGATACAAGGCCATGGTCAAATTTCAATTTTCTTTTTGCACCTGTCCAACTCACAGTTTTTGACTGATTTCCTTGAAACTTTCAGGAGGTGCTACTTGTTTAGCACCTTAGCGCTTAGCACCTTCAGCTAGCACGCAAATAGGTTCTTACTATACCCCGACATGCTACTGCAAGCATGACATTAGCATCTATGGACATGAAGAGTCACGGTTCTGCAATGTGATGCAGGATGCTTTCGGTCATCGGTTGTTTTATTAACCAATATATATATATATATAGACTATCATTACCAATCACGGGCGGTCACACCATGAAGGGAGATGAACTCCTACAAATGTAGGTGTCCACATTGACAAGATGATGACAACTCGGAATTTTTCCCACCACCAGCCACGCTGAACGCGTGAAATGCAAAGATCTTTCGCCACTGCTTTTGTGACCTATATAATGAATCGAATTGGTTTCAGTTGTCAGTTTCGGAACAAAAGCGTTGCCAATAGTCACGTGATGAATGTTGCAGAGGTTTTGAAGATGCATCTTATCAATATTACTTCTGCCCCTCTTGGAAAACGCAAAAAAAATGTGCAACTATATCAGTGGTGCAAAAAACATCAAAAATCGCAGTAATTCAGAGCCGTATGAAACAGCGCCATCTGTGTGTGACGTTTGAAGCTTCAGTTTTCAGTGCCCTGGTTGTACTCCAGGGTTCCATCGGAATAGGTGCTAATCCTAAGCACCTTAACCCGGCAGTTGCTGGGGTATTTCGCCACCCACCGTTTGCTGGGGGGCGGGGGGCGTTAAACGCCCCCAGCCGATAACTCGAGAACCAATAGGCGCAGCGAAACGCACGAGGCGGCAAACAAAAGAACGCGACGAGACGCTTCAGATGAGTACTTTAAAGTTGAATTTTGAGGTCACAGGTCGGGTCAAGGTCAGGTCAAACACCTGAAATCGGGCTTTCAGTAGCATGGACTTCAGGACTTCGCAATGGGCGCCTCTCGTCATAAACTCTGGTCAAAACGGTGCACAGTCCATCATATAAGGCCTACAAGAGTGTCAGCTCCATGTAGGAGTCAGTCAAGCATAGGTCAGGGTCAAGGTCAGGTCAACCGGGTAGGCAAATATCCCCGAAAATCAAAACTGATATTTTCAGCCTGCGACACATGTTTTATGGGTAATTTGGGGCGTAGAACACGGTGGTGACATTCATTTTATCATATGTGTACGTGTTTGGCTCAAAAAGTTCAATTTAAGAAATGCATGTATCATGGTCGTGAAGTAGTCACGAGAAATTGCCAAGATTCAGTTCAAGATTTTGGAAAATGCGGAACGATAATCAATAATCGAAGATAGCCATTTGATTGTTCATGGTATTGGCAGTCTAATGGCGTTTACGGCATGTCTGTATGTCTATTCTGTGATTTTATATGATTTTTTGAACATATGCCGTTTTTGGTCGAAAACTCAGAAATCATGACGTCACTAAAACCACGATATCTCAAAAATTTTCCGACCGATTTTTTTTTAAACTTTGTCACAATACACTTCAATCAATTCCCTACAGGTACCCAAAATTTGGCGCGCCTGCGGCGCGCCGTTTTTATGCTATGGCCCGTCGAAAAAAGTGGGGGCGTTTAACGCCCCCCTCCCCAGCAACTCGCGGGTTAATAGCAGTTGTTTAGCACAAAAAGTGCTAATCTGTTTACAGTGTTTCAGTGTAGCACAACGTTAGCACCTAAGGAGCTAATTAGCAGATATTTAGCACCATATATTGATATTTCCAAGATAATGAAATGAGGTGCTAGTATGCAGCACCTTCAATATTATAAGGTGCTATAATTATTTGCACTATTTTATAACGGGAGCTTAAACCAAGCTTCCATTTATCGTAGCATGCTTATATCAAGCATGTGGTGCTATATTTTAGCATCTGCCTCATAAAATGCTGCTTATTTTAAGCATCATAAATTCTTAGCATCTGAATAGCACTCTAGTAGCACCGGTTTAGCACAAAGGGAGCTAAACTTTTTACAGTGTAGGCTAGATTCATTGCACGTCCAATAGGTATTAACCAAGCGTTTGATAGAAAAAGGTTTTATATTCTGAGCAGCTTGCTTGAATGACCTATGACCATACCTGAAAGGGGACGTAATCGGCGTCTTGGCACCCTCGTAGTCAAGATCGTTGGCGATCAGCCAGACCATCTCCTGGGTCCAAGTAGTTCCACACTTGGGAGGCGTCACCACCCACACGTCACGTGGGTCCAGAGGATGGTTGAACATGTCCTCCACCTCCTGTTCAGTCACGGTCGCTGACAGCTTGAAGCCCCAGTGGTTGCATGAAACCAGGCCGTTTGGATTGCCGGCAAAGTCCCTGGCAATCTTGTTTTGGACTTCATCCTCTAGCGGAATGATATTGAATGGTAATGGTTGCCGCTGGGGTTTGCTCATCTGAAATTTAAGACAATTTTGCTGAGCCACCTTGTGTATCATTTTATAGCATGATTTACGAGAAAAAAAAACGGACAAAATGCACTAAGAACGACCTTGCATTCTGCTCAACGAGGAAACAAGCTGTTTGAAAAAAGTTTCATATCTAAATATAACAATCAGGGCTGCAGAGTCGGAGTTGGAGTCGGAGTCGGAGTCGGTCGGAGTAGAAAGTTCTGCCCGGGGTCGGAGTCGGGAATGGAGTCGCCAAAATCTTACCGACTCCGACTCCGGAGTCGGAATTGACACTGCATGTCATGTCCTGCACCTGTTGGTTTGACGATACTACGCTCGTTGGCCTTCCAAAATCAGACTTTGTCGAAAAAAGGGTGTATTCCTGTTTTGGATGAGCGTTTAAAGCGGAAAAATGCAGAAGACGGCGGGTTCGTCAAAATCTGCTTTTTATTCTGCATATTATTTGTAAAGCATGTTTTTAACCCTTTTAGTGGCAGGCTCCTGGCTACCCCCTATTAGTGGCAGGGGGGGCTGTTTACGACCCCCCCCCCCCTTGATATCTCGAGATCTAACGGGCCGATTTTCAAAATTCAAACGGCATTCGATTTCGCTCAACGATATCTACATTTCTAAAAAAAATAAAATTAAAAAATGTCAGTAGGGGGGTAGAGGGGGGTAAAAACGGGCAAATTGCAGATACATTTTAGACTGTTTATCACGGCCAGGTTTCTGAACCAATCTTAACGCAACTTTTGCCGATCGATAGAGAATGAACCAGGAATTCACAGGGATCCTAAAAAAATGCATTTTCAAAAATCATAGGCGGATACAGATCATTGAGATTGGGGGTACACAAAAAGTATAGTAAATAAGGTTTTTGTTAGTACTGTTTCTAAAAAGGGTGGCAATGGTCTTGTTATGTTACAATTTTCTTATGAGAGAACGACTAAAATTGTATTGGTCATGCATAGGCGGTGTCAGGGCACCTATGTTGGGAGGTAAAAATAACCCCCCTTTTTGGACGCCTGGATCCGCCTATTATAGCAAAAACGTGTCAAAAGAGGATGCACAATAACTTTGTATGTTATCACATGATACCTTTCATTCACTGTTCGTAAAACTGGTGCAGCATCGTGATCTTCGCCCAAATGACTCGCTTCACGAATAGGACCCCCCAATTCCCAGTGCTCTGGAGCCGCCCCTGGTAAAGTTATGAACTTGAAACTTTCAGGGAATGTGCCCAATTTAGTTTTAGGAAAAGTCAGAAAATTTCAGCATCGTAGCTACAGCGGTTTCGGAGATATTCCCGAAAAACCTGAGGGGTGGATAAAAACAACCCCCCCTGCCACTAATAGGGTTAACCCGCGAGTTGCTGGGGGGGGGGGCGTAAAACGATCGGTCGGAAAATATTTGAGATCGAGGTTTAAGTGACGTCATGATTTCTGAGTTTTCGACCAACAACGGCATATGTTAAAAAAATCATATAAAATCACAGAATAGACATACAGACATGCCGTAAACGCCATTAGACTGCCAATACCATGACCAATCAAATGGCAATCTTCGATTATTGATTATCGTTCCGCATTTTACAAAATCTTGAACTGAATCTTGGCCATTTCTCGTGACTCCTTCACGACCATGATGCATGCATTTCTTAAATTGAACTTTTAAAACCAAACACGTACACATATGATAAAGTGAATGTCACCATCATGTTCATACGCCCAAAATTACTCACACAAAACATGTGTCACAGGTTGCGAATATCAGTTCTGATTTTCGGAGATATGTGCTTACCCGGTTGACCTGACCTTGACCCTGACCTATGCGTGACTGACCCCTACATGGAGCTGACACTCTTGTAGGCTTTATATGAAGGATTGTGCACCGTTTTGACAGAGTTTATGACGAGAGGCGCCCATGACTCCTGAAGTCCATGCTACTGAAAACCCGATTTCAGGTGTTTGACCTGACCTTGACCCGACCTGTGACCTCAAAATTCAACTTTAAAGTACTCATCTAAAGCGTCTCGTCGCTTTCTTTCGTTTGCCGCCTCGTGCGTTTCGCTGCGCCTATTGGTTCTCGAGTTATCGGCTGGGGGCGTTTAACGCCCCCCCCCCCAGCAAACGGTGGGTAGCGAAATACCTCAGCAACTGCCGGGTTGATGCAAGTTCTTGGAACGGGCATAAGATTGTTTCAGGCAAAATAAAACATCTAGCCACCACGTCCACGAACTTAACTATCATGGACTTGGGCTATATGGACTTTATGGAAAACGTCCGGAGTCGGAGCTGAGCCGGAGTCGATTTTATAAGCCGGATTCTGACTCTGAGTCGGAGTCATCCCAAAAAGCATCGACTCCGCAGCCCTGGTAACAATTAAACATTACTCATCAAAAAGCCAGACAAAATTAAATGAAACATCTTTGAGTAAACAACTCGTCGACTGCCCCAGATCGTGACACTTTCTCTTACCTTTCCGTTGATGCTGCACGTGCGGTCACTCGAACCCTTCTGATTCCCCGGCGTCTTGAGCTGGCCTCTTACTTTGTGAATAGGCAAACAGTCGCAGACAGGTCCCACTCCCCCTCCAAAGCTCACACCCCCTCACACAAACACACATTTAGTCCGTGCGCTCCCTATCCTTCCACACGCACATCGATGACGCATGGGTCTGGTTACTTTCGACGTGCCACTGACCCATGACAGTTCACTTACGGCCGGCGGTGTGGCCATGGAGATGTAAATATTTGTGGTAGGTCAGAGGACAGGAACGACAACGCTACAGGAACTATTACAATTGCTTATCTTGTACAACTCTGACTCTCTTTTTCAATCTTGGCATCATCTAAAAACACTTGTGCAGGATTCAATATTTAGGAGCTACTATAACATGTGCTATTATAGAAGTATTTTTTTTTAGTACCGTAGTTTTCTGATTACTGTCAACTAAGGTCTGACATTGTGGACTGGAAAACCTATCTGCAGAGCAAAGCCATCGGCAGTCGAACCACCCTGTAGTGGCTGACGTAATTACACAGCAAACAAGTCCTGCCTACCGCAGTCTGTGCAATGTCAATCGGAGATGGCAAAGCCCCGATAGGAGCCACTTCTCAATCGGACAAAGTCTGCCTCCGGTCATTGAACACTTTCCTATCCGCGTATGTACCCTCCAACAAAGGTATTGAGACAGGTGAGATTTTTGTGCCTACTCATTTAGTCGTGTGTAAGCTGTACACTGTCCGCAGCAAAGTTCGCCGAGAGCGATTCTTTTTTGCATCGCTGCTTCAAACAGCATTTACCGATGCCTACACGGCTTGTTTTGACCGCCCTATATTTATCCATATCTTATCTTGCCCTAATCTTGCCATGTCTTTGAACAATTGACCATGCAATATATCTAGGTAGGTATCGTTAAAAACACAAATGATAAAAAATGATTAGACGACGGGTTCAATGACACAGGCTCTTGCAATTATTGTGCTTTCTAAGATAAGCTACCAATAAACCAGTCTTGTACAACGGTTAGTGCATACCTGCCTTCGCCTATTCCCTGTCACCTCCTGCGAGCCACGCATTCGGAGCTCATGCCTCATAGCTGAAAATCAGATGGCCGAGCGCTCCAACGTTAAACACTACAACTGAGCAACTTCAAGCCATCGAAATGTTTCGCTAACGGGGATTGATCTTCTATGATCTGTATGCCTGCTGCGGTGACGGGTCGAATGTCAAGTTGTAACTAAATATAGCCAGAATATAGCTCTTCTGCACTGAAACATCTTATAAACAAATGACACGGCACCGAGCACAGGCCAAAGTACGACTAATATTACAAACACACCTTATAGCCTCTCCCAAGGAAGCTTCACTTGCATATATGCAATTTACACCACGAAACAGGTTTGCAGCGGCCAGTGCATATGACCTTGTGCTAAATGTAGCAGGAGACGTGCATGAAGCGCTGGTCTGGCGTGCTCGATATGTACTGGGTTTGATCAGATCCCTGCACGCTGCAGCCCTGCACTGGCTGCTGAGCAGCCGGACTCTACGGACGGGGACTGCAGTGAGCTGTGAGTGAGCTGAGTGAAGCCGCTGTGAAAATGTGAGTTGAGTGCAGTTGCTGTGAGACTAGAGTTCAGTGCAGCTACTGTGAGCTGTGATCTGTGTGAAGCTGCTGTGAAAATGTGAGTTCAGTGCAGCTACTGTGTGGTGTGAGTTCAGTGTAGCTGCTGTGAGTTGTGAGTTCAGTGTATGTAGTTACTGTGAGCTGGATTAGTTCAGTGCAGCTACTACGAGCTGTGAGTTCAGTGTAAGTAGTGACTGTGAGTTGTGAGACTGCCACTTGAGTGCATCTGTTGTGCGACTGTTAACTCACGTGAGTGAGTGAGTGAGTGAGTGAGTGAGTGCACCTGCCGCGAGTCTGCGAGACTATGAGCTGTGTAAGGGAATGATCTGATTAGAGATGTCAATCGGATACCAACTTTTGGTATACCGATACCAAACCGTTACCAACTTGGTATTTGGTATTTCAATCCTAATGTGTTTGGTATTTTGTTGGTATTATGAACCCTTACTAATGTATAAGAGGCTAAGAAATTGGTAAAAAGTTGGTATTTCCCTCATCTTTCAAAGTTGGTTGGGTTTCGGTATTTCTCCGCGGTTTTGGTTTGTATTTGGTTTGGTATCGGTAGGTATTCCGATTTTCTGTAATTGACATCACTACATAGATCTGATGATGTTATGTGCAGCGTGTTACGTAACCCCAATAACTCTTGCAGTTTCGGTTCGCTCGACTATTTTATTCCGCGCCTTGATGGGGTCTTCCGAGCAACGCCCCCTGATGGGGAGGGGGCCATTCTGCCCCCCCCCCCCCTAAGATATCGAGAACCACGCAGCATAGCGGCAAGCGGCAAACGGTGTTGGATAGCCCCAACGGGGAACTACCTTGTGACCCATTTTCATTTACCTCTGTCTAACCGATGACGTCATAGGTCGGGTCAAATGTCGAATTTTCACCGTTTACAGGCATTTCAAAAAATGTGTTGTAAAATCGAGTAAAAATGCATGTTATTGAAAAGCATCGATATGGAATTAACTATCAAACGCATATTTTGCTACTTGAGGTCACTTATACCAGATCAGGCCACTGAGATCAGGTCTCTGAGGGTCACAATGCCGTGAAAGTGTCGTGTGATGCATGTTGTATGATCCATTTTACATGACAAATGCGATTATTTGGGCCAGGTTAAGAAAGTTGAATGTTTACTTTGCTTCAGATGGATTCGGCGAAAAGGGTCCCATTACCATTCAAGATTATTCCGCTTGAGGATGAAGTCCAAAAGAAGATTGCCAAGGATTTTGCCGGCAATCCAAACGGCCTGGTTTCATGCAACCATTGGGGTTTCAAGTTTTCAGCGACCGTGACTGAAAAGGAGCTGGAGGATATGTACAACCATCCTCTGGACCCACGTGACGTGTGGGTGGTGACGCCTCCCAAGTGTGGAACTACCTGGACCCAGGAGATGGTCTGGCTGATCGCCAACGATCTCGACTACGAGGGCGCCAAGACGCCATTCATTCCAGACAGGTATGTCATACAGTTATAAAAATTGCTTGTCCGTACTCAGTGTTTTTTCTGTTTGGTTCTGATTACATCTTGGATAAATTTGATGATTCAAATAACTATAAATAAAAACGTTAAGAATATCGTGCCGTCAAAATGTACCAAATTGCCTCTAAACGAACGCATGCAACAGCACCCTTGATCATATGCCATCCCAAGCATTAATTGGAAAATGGCATGTGAACTTTGAGCTTAATAACTTTTTAAACTCCTCAGTCAACGCTCAGTGGTTTTCAAGTATAAAGGCATCTGCGCGGCTGACTGCGTATTGCTGCGTAAAGAGCATTCAAATTGATTCACCGAGAAGTTCCTCGCTCTTCTCTCTAAGAACTAAAATTACTTATCTCATATATTCACATGAGAACGCCAACTTATCAGTTATGTCAACATTGTATTTTTGCATTTTTTCAGATGGAGTTTTCTCGACGTTACTGGTGTCCTCGACAAAGATCAGATGATAAAGGCGGCGCCACCTGCTTCCGAAGATGGCGCCCCCGAAGGTCCGCCAGACATGGCGGGAGATCCAAACCGACCCTCTCCGCGGTTCGTCAAGTCGCACCTGCCGTTTTCCCTCAATAACCCGCGCCTTCTGGACGTCTGCAAGGTGGTCTACGTGGCCAGGAACCCCAAGGACCTGTGCGTCTCTTTCTACCATCACATGAGGCTGATTCGCTTCCACGACTTTTTGGGAGACTTCGAGGTGAGTAAACTACAGTCAGCTGGTCACGACTGCCAATCTGTGTGAATTCCATCTAGGTAACGTTTCCATTGTCTGAATGACACAAGAGCTAGTTCATGATCATAACCCGTGCTTAGAATATTGACAGGCATCATCCGCTTGAAGTGCAGATTATGCGTGTAAGGCCTGTTTGATCAAACGACTACTGGTGATAATGTCAAGTTTTTGTTACATCTTTGTTAAGTGACTTACTGGATCATTTCAGCTCTTCGTGGACTACTTTATGAAAGATCTGACGATGGAGTCCCCCTACATCGAACACATGATCGAGGCATGGAACCTGCGTCACCACCCCAACCTCTGCTTCCTCTTCTACGAGGACATGAAGAAGGACATGAAGACGGAGATCCGCAAGGTGGTGAAGTTCTTGGGTAAGGACTTCACTGACGAACAGGTGGACAAGCTGGCAGAGCATCTGCACTTCGACAACTTCAAGAACAACCCGTGGGTGAACGCCGAGCACTTGAAGCCGCTTGGTCTGATGCACACAGATCGCGGCAACTTCATCAGGAAGGGCAAGACGGGTGACTGGAAGAACTACTTCACGCCTGAAATGAATGAGAAGTTTGATAAGTGGGTGGCGGAGAAGCTGAAGGGAACGGATCTGACCTTCGTCCAGGAGCTGGAGAAGCAGGACTAGACAAAGGCGCTTCAAGCTGATAACAAATGCGGTATTTGAAAAAGAAAACATGTATTTCTTGTGTAGCTCAATACACATATACGTACCTATAGTTTGCATTACTACGGACGTCTTATGCGTGACATGGAAGGAGCGGTGTGCCAGCTGCACAAATGTTTGAGGTTTTCACCAGGGACGCGGTGCCCTCGGAGCTACTGAGTTATGTATTTCTGTCAATGACTTTAAACTACTTAACTTAATACGAATAATGATTTATACCATCAGTGACCAGGCGTTATGTTTTTCATGTTTTGACACCGAACAGAACTGCTTTTTGTGGCGACGAGAGCTTTTTCCGTTTAGGTGTTTGCAGTCGAGTTTGCGCCTTAACCCGCGCCTGGCGGTCTCAGCCAACTTCGCCCGTGGGGGGGGGGGGGCATATGTTACCACCCACCTCTAACTCAAAAACTAAGAAGGCTAGAAAGAGGCAGTAAAAAGCAGTCGATAGCCCTCAATGCGTACGTTTGAAAGTATTTCGGTCATTTTTCATCTTAGAGCAATATTGGGGTCACCAGAGGTCATCAAAGGTCAAAATTTGCCAATTGTCATTATATTTTTCAGAAAACATGCCGTTATCTCAGAAACTATGGTAGCTAGAAAAACGCATGGAAAGGCAATAGACAGCTTTTGAGCTCTTCTATTGATAAGGTTATTATCAAAATTGACCTCAGGTCAACGGTTTAGCCTCCAGAGGGCAAAAACTCCAAAAATAGCTGTTTTTACGAAAAGTGTTTTTCGACAATAACTTTCGACTACAAAACGCCACGCCATTTCTATTGCCAGAATAGTGTTCCTCTCGCCGAGACGCGTCAAATGAACTATAATTTGACCTTGAAAGGTCAATTTGAAAATTTGACCTCAGGTCTAGGTCATGACCTGACCGGAAAAGGTCATGTTGCATATCAGTCGATGCATCTCGACAAGACAAACACAATGAGACCATCCCCAGCGTTCTATTTCTTTCCAATCGCGAGTTATTGGCAAAAATCTGTTTGTAGCCTCAAATGACCTCGGATGACCTTTCTAGAGGCTATCAGCAAAAATGACACCTTGGTCATCACGGGTGGTCCAAATCATTGTGATTCTGAAATATTTGGACTGTTCCTATGCGTACACACGGATCTAGAGGCATTTTCATTTTTCTCCATTGACTTGTAATGGAAAGGTCACGCCACTGACCTGACCTTAGGTCACGGATATAAAAAAAAATCCGAGATATACAAATTGTAGGCGCCCATAACAACATGCAATCCACCAAGTTTAAAACCTTTCTGACAAACACAGCAGGCTGGACATGATTGCAAACTTTTTTAGGCTTGGTCAGTTAACTTGACTTGGTGACCTGACCTGACATGACCTGGGGTCAAAAATTTCACACATTGTCCAAAATTGACTTACCAAAAGCTACGCCATGCGGTGCGGCGCTACGCGCCGCGGTTTTTTATTCACACGCAAAAAACGCGACAGGGTGGTAACATATGCCCCCCCCCCCCCCACTGGGGCGAAGGTTAAAACGGATGCAAAGCATCACTTTACCATGAGGGCGCCCGGAGAGCTAAAACACCAATGCCATGCGTCCCTTACCAGTATGGTATAGTAGCATTCAATGACAGTACCTGATTTGACCGGGATACACCATAGAAACATCAATGGCTATCAACCTCGTCTGAAAGAAGCATTCTCTGTGTACTGAAAGGCAATAAGGTTGAACCGACAGCTGCCGGGTATGGTATTTTTTTAGGCAAGGCGCTTTTTTTTTCTAAGATAGTCCGTTACCCATGATCAGGTAACCAGGAGTGCCCCCTCCCACAGTCCCGGCGACGCACAGGCCACAGAGGCCTTACTTTAGCACCAGGGAACATAGTAAATTGAACAAGTCGCGGCACTCCCTGCTAATAATACAAAATACAAACACGATTGCCACACTCGTCGCTGATAATTTTTCATCTTCCCGGCAGTCCCATGCATAATTATATATTGTTCATTCTAGTAGAAGTTTATTTGCCATTGGTTCTTCTACAGCGCAGCGCAGGGATATTTCTACCTTACAGTCCTCTGAGATACAAAGATAAACTCTCGAGGGTTCATAGCCAAATATCAAGCGTTCAAGTGATGATGCGTCAATAACCGAACATTTGTTGATTGTTGAGATGAAGCTCATGAATTAGATGCAAACTAATGTAAAGTTTTTTTCAGAAATATATACACTTGAAGATAATATTTCAGATAACTACAAATAAACATCTATATAGGAAGAGAAGAGGATTCTTAACCCGCGCCCCACTGGGGGGGGGGGGCTATTTATAGCCCCCCCCCCTCCCGTTTTTCTGCAATAACTTCCAAACCTCTTGACGTATGGACGCCAAACTTTCAGTACCTTCGGCTGCATCAATTTGACACCTTGTGTCAAAATTTGAACTTCGTACCTACCATAGGTCGGCTGGAAATGACGTCAGAGTGACGTCATGTTCGGCCGATTTGGACGCAAAACATTGAACCACGGCAATCGCTCCCAAGAGCTCAGTTTTTAAGCTAGATCCAATTTCTTTGCATGAGAGGACTCAGAATAGACTGCGCTATCAAACTGCTATCTCAGATTTTCGAAATTTTAATATATATTTTTACATTTTTTCAAAAATTTCTTGGCTTTTCGAAAAAAACCGGAATATATGTGATAGAACGCATTATTATGACTAACTCTAGCAAGTTTTAGCTAAATATCTTCAAAAATGGCCAAGTTATACGCATTATTGCGAAAAATTAACAATTATTTATTTTTCAAATCAATTTTTCAGCACGAATTTGACATCGTACGCCAATATAAATAGCACCATCGTGTTCCTGAGCTCAAACCGCATCCAATAGACCTTTTTTGTTGAAAAATTTTAACTTCAAAATTTGACCTTTTTTGACCTGAAAGTGACCTGACCTAAGCTAAATTTGACTCAAAATGACCTCGAATGACACAGACGACATCAAATTCGAAATGTTTGGCCTAAATGGACCATAAAACATGTGTCACGTGACCGACGGATGATATAATATTTTCGTGACCTGTGATGACCTGACCTTGACCTGAAAATCAAAGTACAAGTTTGGTACCCTCAGAGTATCTAGAGCATCTGTTCACGAGTGTGTGAACCAAAAATGAGCCTGATCTGACTTGTAAGACGGCGGCCAGAGCCCAAAACGTGAAGAAGCCAAAATGCTAATAATTTTTACTTTGACCTGACCTGTGACATCATCGGTGACCTCGAGGTCAATGAAATTAGGTTTCGCTCGACAGTTTTTCCGGGGCTATCAGACGCCGTTTGAATTTTGACGATCGGCCCAGTAGTTTCGGAGTTAGGAGGGGGGCTATGAATAGCCCCCCCCCAGTAGGGCGTGTTATACGCAGACCCCAGTGGGGCGCGGGTTAATATCTTCAAGACTCACTCGAGGAATATCTGATATCTTTTCCTCGCGTGTTCTAGGAAAAAAACTCGCTCCTTCGTCGCTCGGTTTTTCCAACCAAGGCTATAGAACTCCGGTTTTTCAGCAACCCGCTGAGAAAAGAAATCCGTATCTTTCTATTATAATAGAGATTTATTTGCCATTGGGTCTACAGTGCATGGATATTTCTTTCCCATACATGCAACATTGCACGTTTAAATCGAGAAAGCCAGGCATTAAAATGGCACGTGCATTATACTGCACTTTTGAAACATACGAGAAGTCAATGCTGATTGGTTTCCGAGACATGCAGGAAAATATGTTTTCCTGCACCTTTCGACGTTTTCCTGCACCCCTCGACGTTTTCCTGCACCTCTCAAATATATGACGTCATTATGAATGACGTCACATCATAAAGTTGAAGAGCATCATTTGCTCCTTATAACTTCAATTTATCTATCGTCCATTTTATTTGATTGGCTTATGATATACCTACCTATATTGTGTTTGATGCAAGGATTTTATTATTTGTTATGAATAAAGTGAAACATCACCATATAAAACTTAAACTTTGACGCTATTTCTCAACAAACCATAGCCACGAAAGACTCAACAAGGTTGAAATTGGGGCGTTTTGGTTCCTCCAAAACATTTGCAACGCTCCCATGCTACGCATGTATGGGAAATAGCTTCCTGCCCTGAGCTGGGAAAATTTAATGGTGTCACCTCGTATTTTAATTGAAAGTACCTCGGGCCTACCGGCCCTCGGTACTTTCAATTAAAAAACTCGGTGACACCATTAAATTTTCCCAGCCCCGGGCAGGAATGTATTTTCCCATACATGCAACATTGCACGTTTAAATCGAGAAAGCCAGGCATTAAAATGGCACGTGCATTATACTGCACTTTTGAAACATACGAGAAGTCAATGCTGATTGGTTCCGAGACATGCAGGAAAATATGTTTTCCTGCACCTTTGGACGTTTTCCTGCACCCCTCGACATTTTCCTGCACCTCTCAAATATATGACGTCATTATGAATGACGTCACATCATAAAGTTGAAGAGCATCATTTTGCTCCTTATAACTTCATTTTATCTATCTTCATTTTATTTGATTGGATTATGATATACCTACCTACATTGTGTTTGATGCAAGGGTTTTATTATTTGTCATGAATAAAGTGAAACATCACCATATAAAACTTAAACTTTGACGCTATTTCGCAGCAAACCATAGCCACGAATGACTCAACAAGGTTGAAATTGGGGCGATTTGGTTCCTCCATAACATTTGCAACGCTCCCTATAATGGTACGCATGTATGGGAAATAGCTTCCTGCCCTGAGCTGGGAAAATTTGATGGTGTCACCTCGTATTTTAATCGAAAGTACCTCGGGCCTACCGGCCCTCGGTACTTTCAATTAAAAAACTCGGTGACACCATTAAATTTTCCCAGCCCCGGGCAGGAATGTATTATCTTGCCCCGCTGACCGCTCTGAGAAGCGAAGGTAAGATTTTGTTATCTTTGCATCCCTCTGAGATGCAAAGATAAAGTCTCGAGAGTTCATAGCAAAAAGCGGTTTAGTATGATGCCTGTCCCGTAGCTCAGTTGGTAGAGCATTGGACTCCCGGTAGTGAGAGCCCGGGTTCGAAACGCTCCGGCACTCGATATTTGAGACTCCTGACGGGGATGGTCTGCGGTTGGTGGGAGCAGCCGTAGCCAGTTGAAGTCAGTTGAGTGGGACAGGCCGTGTCCGGCTTTGAAGGGCACGCTTAAACTTTGGCATCTAAATTATCCCGATATCCGGAATTGCGCGATCGGACGGTAGGGGTCGGGGCCTACGCAACAAGCTCTGCTTAGCGTGGGATTCGGCTCTGTTATTCCGCCCATTCAGACGTTCGAGCTAAATTTATTAAAAAAAAAAAATGATATGTCGATAATCGAACCGTCTTTTGATGGTTGTTTGTGTATGAAATAGTGGTGTCAATCGGAACTTGAATCTCTTCGGAATTCCGCTTTTGTCCAATGTCCAATTCGGAATTCGGTTGGACAATGGCAGCAGGCTTTGGACAACTTTGGACAATCGCTTGCTACACCTCAACATTTTTACAAAGTAGTCGTGTTTAACCCGCGCCCCACTGGGGGTGGGGGGCTATTCATAGCCCCCTCCCGTTTTTCTGCAATAACTTCCAAACCGCTTAACGCAGGGGCGGGCAAAGTCCGGCCCGCGGGCCGGATGCGGCCCGCCAAGCTCCGGCGTCCGGCCCGCGGCCTCGATAGGCAGCCAGCATTGCAATCCGGCCCGCGAGCCCTACGGAAGCCCAGTTTAGGATTATGGTTCATCCGAGTTCAGTAGCAATAGCACCACGGTGACCTGCTGTTCTTCAGTGAGGTACGCTGGCTGAGTCGCGGCGCCATGCTGTCCCGTGTTTGGGAGCTCAGGCAGGACATCGCGAGCTTCCTACATGAGAAAAGCTCGCCATACGCCGATAAATTCAGTGATTCCAGGTGGCTGGCTGACCTGGCACTGCTCACGGACATCACATCCCACCTGAACACGCTGAACACAAAACTTCAAGGAAAGTATCTTCTGCTCCCCGACATGTATGCGCATGTCACTGCCTTCGAGGTGAAGCTGCGTCTGTGGGAAGCCCAGGTAGGTCGAGGACAGCTTGACCACTTCCCTCGCCTGGCCACCTGTGCTGCGGAAGATGTCGACCGCGACGGATGTGCCGCTGCTCTTGCCGCTCTGCGCCAGGAGTTCACGAACCGCTTCGCTCGCGTTCGGGAGCTCGCTACCGACTTCAAGCTGGTGACAGCACCGTTCAACTTCAGTGTCGACGAAGCGCCGGTATCCCTGAGAGAGTCGGTGGAACTCCAAAGCAGTGATGAACTCAGAGGAAAGTTCCGAACCTCTTCGCCTCTGGCCTTCTTCCGCGATGTCATTATCCCCACTGACGGATATTCCAATTACATATTGCACGTCCAACGCATCGCTGCCATGTTCGGTAGCACGTACTGCTGCGAACAGCAGTTCTCCAAAATGAAGTTATACGTGAAATCCCGCCTCCGATCCAGACTGTCTGATCGTCACCTGAATGACGTCCTCAGGCTGAGCTCGACGACATCTGTGGCGCCGAATGTCGAAGGGCTTCTTCACGGCAGGAAGCAGCACCACCCTTCGCACTAAAAACGAGGGTGCGGAGATCGAAGGACGCATTCCGGTACCTTTCTGGGACAGCATGAAGGGAGTGACGTATAGTATCGTGTCAATACAAATAGCATGTGAATCACGAAGTATTTTGTCTTCTTACGATCGAGAAAAGTTTTGCGGCATAAACCAAGAAACTAAACACAAACATCATGGTAGCCCGCCGTCTCCAGCTTCTTGAGGTACTTCTCAAATAAGGTGAGTCGTTATTTCTATGATTCCTAGTGTGTCTGTGCATTTTACAAAAGCAGACTTGATTTTTAGTACGGTTGTCATGGGTCAAAAGTCATTCGTTTGTAAGTGTAACTATAAGTATTTGTCTCTGTCACGAGACAGTCATTGCCCGTCGTTAGTCAGTCGCGTCATAGCAACATAGCATCCATTTTAGTCATTGACAAACGAAACTCTGGCGAGCTTAGCACTCAGGCCCCCCAGTTGCTCACAAATGCAACACCCGGCCCGCGCTCCCAAAAGTTTGCCCGCCCCTGGCTTCACGTATCGACGCCAAACTTTCAGTACTTTTGGCTGCATCAATTTGACACCTAGTGTCAAAATTTGAACTTCGTAGCTACCATAGGTTGGCCGGAAATGACGTCAGAGTGACGTCATGTTCGGCCGATTTCGACGCAAAACATTGAACCACGGCAATCGCTCCCAAGGGCTCAGTTTTTAAGCTAGATCCAATTTCTTTGCATGAGAGGACTCAAAATAGACTGCGCTATCAAACTGCTATCTCGGATTTTCAAAATTTTGAAAATTTCGAAAATTTTATATAATAAAATTCAAAATTTATATTTTACATTTTTTTCAAAAAGTTTTTGACTTTTCGAAAAAAAAAACGGAATATATGTGATAGAACTCGTTATTATGACTAACTCTAGCAAGTTTTAGCTAAATATCTTCAAAAATGGCCAAGTTATACGCATTATTGCAAAAAATTCACAATTATTAATTTTTCAAATCAATTTTTCACCACGTATTTGACATCGTACGCCAATATAAATAGCACCATCGTGTTCCTGAGCTCAAGCTACATCCATTAGACACCTTTTCTGTTAAAAAATTCTAACTTCAAAATTTGACCTTTCTTTACCTGAAAGTGACCTGACCTAAGCTAAATTCGACTCAAAATGACCTCGAATGACACAGACGACATCAAATTCGAAATCTTTGGCCTAAATGGACCATAAAACATGTGTCACGTGACCGACGCATGATATAATATTTTGGTGACCTGTGATGACCTGACCTTGACCTGAAAATCAAAGTACAAGTTTGGTACCCTCAGGGTATCTAGAGCATCTGTTCACGAGTGTGTGAACCAAAAATGAGCCTGATCTGACTTGTAAGACGGCGGCCAGAGCCCAAAACGTGAACAAGCCAAAATGCTAATAATTTTTACTTTGACCTGACCTGTGACGTCATCAGTGACCTCGAGGTCAATGAAATTAGGTTTCGCTCGACAGTTTTTCCGGGGCTATCAGACGCCGTTTGAATTTTGACGATCGGCCTAGTAGTTTCGGAGTTAGGAGGGGGGGGGGGGCTATGAATAGCCCCCCCCCCCTCCCCCCAGTAGGGCGTGTTATACGCAGACCCCAGTGGGGCGCGGGTTAACATTGATTGGCTATTAGAAAGCTCAGCTTTCGATATGATTAACACTTTTGAGCTTGTAACGGTACATGAAAATCAAATTAAATAGCTATGTTGAGTGTAAACTATTGCGTAGGTGTCGGACATCTTTGGACAAATGGCTGGCTTGGACATTTTTGGACAGACAATTGACGTAAGCATTGGACATTGGACGGACTTTGGACATACGTTTTCTGAAATTGACACCACTAGTATGAAAGCTATGAATTTAAAACAAATGAACTACTCTGAGACTGATTTTTCACTGATGAATACATCTGAATATATTATTTAATTAAATTAAGAATAAACATCTACATGGATTCCTCCTGGCTCAGTCGTGGAAGATCGGATATCTTTTCCTCGCGTGTTTCAGAAAAACATTGCTCCTTCGTCGCTCGGTTTTTCAGTAACCCTCTTGGAAAAGAAATAATTATCTTCCACTCGAAGCCATGAGGAATCCTTCTATATATCTTCAACTGGGGGTCATGAAGAATGCTCTGCCTATATCTCACACATATCTCATGCACAATCTCACATACAGCTCACTGATCAGGCAGAGATCACATAGAGCTTACCCAATGCCCAAGACCGTAATACTCCCCAGCCACCCGGTAGCGGTCGTTTTCCCGTCTCCACCGCTGGCTTGCCCCACCGCTGTGCGTGTCGCCTGGCCTTGAAGCTGAATATAAACAGCGAGCTGCAACGACCTCGTACGTGATCAGTATCAGTGAACGTTCTCTGGACGGCGCGGCCAAGCCGCGGCACTGGCCAGATAGCACTGGAGCTGAGCGGACTACAGTCGAACCGCTGCGCTGGGAGGAGTGCGAAGGGGTGCCTGCGTAAAACAGTGGTTGTTCGGAGAGAGCTATCACACTTCTTACGACAAAAGGTACGTCAGCAGCTGATACGTGCTAATAACGAGTTGGGTTCCTGAATACAGAAAAGGTACTTGAAAGTGGGAAGGTATGTGCTGGTTATCGGACCTTAAGACTGAAACAGACTCTTTCCGCATTCAGGAAATCGCATGCGAGAGCATATTCAAATACATTAAAATTCTGCCCGCATCAATCGCATGCGAGAGGTGCGTGCGGTTGATGCGAGCGTGCTTCCATGTATTTTGATAGGCTCTCGCATGCGATTTCCTCAGAGGTCGAAAAACTGTCCATCCCTCCAACCGGTGTTGGAGCATATAATTGACCGAATAGCTATGCAAACGGAAAATAATCGATCGCCAATGATGAAACACAGAATCTTTTACTTGCATGGCCATTCCTTGCATCCATGTGCAATTTCAAGCTTCAGCTAATGACTCACTGTGAGTACTTTGTAACCGACCCACGGCCTGGCTATGCCACCCTCGTCTGACTTGCTCCCAGCCCAGTTGCTTCCATCTTACTGAAGCAAATCAGTGTCAAAAAGGCTACTTTTCCCGTAATCGCGAGCGGGATTTCGCCCTTACAGCAGTTGTAGAAAGTAGCGGCTTTTTAGAGCGTACAGTCCGTGGAATAGATGTCGCTGCGGTCCGGCAGCGACATCCAGCGACATCTACGCGCCGAACAGTAAGAACTTGGAACTACGGGCACGTCATGACCTCTTGCACGGCCCTGTTTCAGCGCATTGAAGCTGTCTGGCGCTAACGGTATTGGTGCTCAGTATCCATGGAAACTGTAGAGGGATTCAAGGCCTTGACCCGGGTTATGCAACAAATCATTTTTCTTGTGGAGCAAATTTTAGATCGGTTGGAGAAAGTCGAACTGTTTTTTCGGCCTCTGGATTTCCTGACTGCGGAAAGAGTCTGTTTCAGGCTTTAAGGACCCTATACAATTTATGAACGTACAGTAACTAGCCGATGTTTCGCCAAATTCGATTTGTGAAAGGCACATTGGAAGCATTAAAAAACACATTTTTCAGCTAATACAGCATATAAAACGATGTTAAATTTTCTATTTATCTATTTTGAGTTACACAAGGCTGTGGCTTCGACAAACAAGCTAACAGGAAAAATTACAGTTGGATTCTGAGAAAGGGGCACCAAATCACGTTTCTGCATAACGATCATAAGATGCGGAATGCAGAGAAACAAAAGGTACTATGAAAATGCCATAAAAGCTACTATAAAAATGTCATAAAAACTAGTCTCGAGAGAGATTTGAGGGTGTTGAAATATGGCAGCGCAATAAATATTTTGAAGGTAAGCTACTTCAGATGTAGGAATTCCAAGGCCTCAGAGGGTTGGCAATGGTACTATCCATGTATCAAATTGGTACCACCGCGAATACTCCGTCGTAAAAACGGCCAATATGTTTCAGATGAGTTCGGAGAAAAGGATTCCATTGCCATTCAAGATTATCCCGCTAGAAGATGAAGTTCAACAGAAGATAGCGAAGGATTTTGCTGGCTATCCGAACGGCCTGGTCTCCTGCAACCACTGGGGCTTCAAGTTTTCAGCGACCGTGACTGAACAGGAGGTGGAGGACATGTACAACCATCCTCTGGACCCACGTGACGTGTGGGTGGTGACGCCTCCCAAGTGTGGAACTACCTGGACCCAGGAGATGGTCTGGCTGATCGCCAACGATCTCGACTACGAGGGCGCCAAGACGCCATTCATTCCAGACAGGCACGTCAAGCAATGTCACAATCCTTACAAATGTTCTTTTTTGCAATCCCACTGAATTTACTACAATTGAGCTATCGTTTCATCTTTTATCGTTTTATCGTTGTATGTTATATGAGATCAGAAGTAAGAGAGAAGGTTCATGCATTTCTGGACTAGCTAGAAAAATGTCACCGTTTTCAGCACAAAAGCGACTCACGTCGCGATATTTGGCATGATATTTTTTTTCGTGAACCTAAACATTTTAATTGAAACACCTTTTTGTACTCATTTCAGGTGGAGTTTTGTTGATTTCCCCGGCCTCTCTGATAAGGAGTATATGAAACGCTTCACTTCAAATCCTTCTGAAAAAGATGGCGCCACTGGAGGTCCTCCCAACTTGGCGGGAGATCCGAATCGGCCGCCGCCGCGGTTCGTCAAGTCGCACCTGCCGTTTTCCCTCAGCAACCCTCGTTTGCTGGATGTCTGCAAGGTGGTCTACGTGGCCAGGAATCCCAAGGATGCCTGCGTCTCCTACTATCATCATATGAGACTGATACGCGTGCATGACTTCCTAGGAGATATTGAGGTGAGTGAAATTTCGGCAAAGCTATCGTCATGCTACCATACGTGTAACAAGCTAAATGTGCAAGGCGTTTCAAAAAAGTCACTTCAATGTCGTTGCTCAGACAGAAGAATAATTTTTTTTTCTTTGTATTATGTGAGAAAGAAATGCTAAAATTTTCTACCGAAAAGGTGGTCAGATGGTCATATGGCTATTTGGCCTTCCATTTTCCGATTATAGTCATCATCGTCTTTTGGATGATTGTGACAGTTGAGTTCCGTTTAGCTAAAGCTTTTTCTCATCATTGCAAGAGCTAACTTTTTTCCTAGTGTTGAAACCACGGAATATATAGTCTACGACATGGAATGGACAGATCGCGATTTAACCACGTTAAACGTGTAACTCGAAAGCAAGCAAGGAAGCGCCCGTATTATAAACGCACACAGTGCTCTCGCGCTAGAAAATCAAATATTTTTCACAAAACCACGAAAACAACTCGACAACCTAAACAAAATTCGACATTCTTGTGCAGTAGTGATTCAAGGGTAGAATCGACGGTTTATTTAGTACTGGTAACGGCGATTTACCGTTAATGTTCTCATTCATTTGCTTTTTTGTACTTTTTTATTGTGATTCATAGTCTTCGAATATACAAGGAAAAAGCTGTAACCAGAGAAAGACGCAACTTTGTGACGCTGAGGGCTTTAAATGACTGGAATGCTCTTCCAGAAAGAGTGGTTACTGCCCCCAACCCTTAGCGAATTTAAGAAAGAAATCGACCAGCTTTGGGCAACGTCTCAGTTCAAGCATTGAAATAGTTTGACTGATGCATCGTCAAAATCAGCCACAAAGTTGAAAAACATCCAAACGAAGGAATATCGTGGAGAGAAAGTAAAAGTGAAAGCGAGGAAGTCGCAGGCCCTTTGCAAGGGGCCTCTTTCCATGGACAACTTCAACTTCAACTTCAACTTCAACTTGATTAGGATTACGAATGAGTTTGCGGATTGGCGTTTTTTATCGCGAATTTGTGAGCTTAAAAATGATGTGGCCCAGCGCGGTTCGCTGCGGCTACTGCCGAAAGGCGATATCAAAATTGCAACTGTCTAGACACCGGAGAAGGCCAAGATTACTTTACCGAGAAGGCTGCATCCGTGGCTGCCTACGACCCGGCCCGGCCGGCACCGCTAAAGCGAAGGACAACCGGCTGATGGTATCCTTCGCCAGTGGAGCTGCTGTTTCTGGAGCTGCTGCTTCTGCTGCCCCAGTTATAGCGAGAGACGCCAGCCCCCTGGACCAGCCGCTGGCTGCTGTCGCCAGCATGGAAGTGACCACGACACCGACAGGGGCCGGTAAGTTGTTCATTGAAATGATCGTGCAGTTTGGCAGATAGATGCTCACGCTAAATTGTGTTGTACGGGAATCGCTGCTCCGGGAAGCGTTTTTTCTCGTTTAGCTGGAATCGATTTTGTTACAAGAGGTGAAGAAAAACGGACAGCGTTGTCGAAGTGCTGTTTATTGTTTCTGAACTTAATAGCGGGTTGAATAGTGGAGCTCGGCCCAAGTGGAAATTGGTACATGGCACTCGCTACTCGTTACCCCTCATGCAGACACGTGCTTTGCCTTTGTCAGGTTCGGTGCAGGCACACCAGCTTGCCCCGACACTGACGAGTGACGGTGGTTTTCCCGTCGCCCCTGATGGCGGCGAGGGGCCAGCCAGACCCGTCGATGCGGCGACCGCGGTACCAACTGACGCTGTCGAGCAAGAGCGCGCACATTTCACTGGTAGGTGAAAGACAGGGCCGAAGCATGCCTTGCATTTTGAAAGCCGTTAGATTCGGAACCACGAATGGCAGCTCCTTCAACAGCTCTATATCTGGAGCCATTTTCCGCACTGCTGGCGAAGATTCTCGATCTCGAAAGCTTTACGGTACAGCATAACTTCAGGCGCTCGCTCTTCCTGCCATCTAGCGGAAGAAAAATGTCGCGGGCCGCGGCAGTAGAATCGCCATTCCGTTCCTCTCTGTTGACTATCATGTCAGCACAACATTCGTTGGTGTTTTTTTTTTTTTAACCGCTTATTCTAAGCAGTAACCGACGGCACACTCTGGAGGACTGATTGGTGTTTCGGTTCTCCCTCCAGGTACTGCATCGCAGTGTCGCCACCATGCACGGAGGACGTCAGAGGACGGCCCGTCAGTCTTCACGGCCAGTGCGCTGGGCCGGCACGGGTCACACGCTCGGTGAAGTAGCTGGCCTGCGCACGCAGCTCGACATCATCTGTGGTGTCATCCCAGCCTTTCTTCAGATCATTCACTCGCCGCTTCAGCCACGCCACCGCCGGCCGCAGTCATCCGGCCACGGAGGATAAGTGATAGGCCGACCACACCACAAGAACAGTGCTCTCCGTGTAAATATCACGACCGGAAGTGCGCGAGCTACTGACTGGGAGATGGCGCTCGCGCTGACGCTGTTTCCTCGACGTTTATGCAGCTCCTGGCGAGGTGACCGGTCTTGCTACAGGTCTAATAACGCCGTGCCCGGTCCGCCGTGGACCCTGACCGACCCGCCGGTGTCTTGGCGTCTCGCCTCACACCCGCTGCTGCAGAGAACACGTTCGTCACTCAACACTGCCCGCGCCAGGATGCTGGCCAGATCCAGGCCTTCTGCGCGCGTGTCGGCCCGAATTGTGCTGCTAACGGCGTCTGGTAGCCCGGCGATGAAAGTACTGGCGATGAAAGCACCTACCCGAATGCAAGCCGAATGCAGCAAAAGATGCTCCTCCAAGTGTGGAAACCGAGCGTCGTGCGCGCTCGAAATTTTAATACAACCAATTTTTGCAGGCTTTTGACTTTGAAAATTTCACCGGCGCAGTTCGCACAGTTTCGGAGCAATAACCCGCTAACAAAGACAGGCTCACATACATCCATGCATAGTTTGAGTTTTATAATAGTTATTTAATTTATAAGAGTGAAAAGAAATAACCTCATGCTCATTAATATCGAAATTAAAAATATTAATCCAGAATATATTTTGTGAATATCACTTCGTCGGTGGATTAATATGCAGAATTGATGGGAAAGCTAAGCAGTAAGCAGTGTTTCGTATCCTCCGTGTCGTGAATGTCACCGACCGAAGTGATATTCACGAAAATATATTTTTGATTAACAATTTTAATTTCGATATTAATGAGCATGAGGTTATTTCTTTTCACTTCTACAACGTTAACTATGCTCAAAAGAACGCTTAACTTTATCAAACAAAAGTTATTTAATTTGATAAAACTCATCTCGTTCATCAGCACGGAAGTGCCAAAACCACAGCAGCACACCTAAAATTGCCAGATAGCCAAAAACTCAGCAGTTACAGGAAAAATTCGTTTTGTCCATTCCATGTCGTAGACTATATATTCCGTGGTTGAAACTAAACCACTACAATAGTCCTTCTACATAGTCCTTCATATTCGCCTTTGTTGAATTGCTTGGAGCAGATTGCCTGTCTTTCAACCAACCTGAATGGTTTCAGCTCTTCACGGAGTACTTTATGAAAGACGAGCTGGGTGAATCGCCCTTCATCGAACACATGATCGAGGCATGGAACCTGCGTCACCACCCCAACCTCTGCTTCCTCTTCTACGAGGATATGAAGAAGGATCTGAGATCGCAGATCCGCAAGGTGGCCAAGTTCTTCGGAAAGGACTACTCTGAAGAACAGGTGGACAATCTGGCAGAGCACCTCCACATCGACAACTTCAAGAAGAATCCGTTCGTAAACTTCGAGAGCCTGAATAAGCTTGGTCTTACGTACCCAGATCGCGGCAGCTTCGTCAGGAAGGGCAAGACGGGTGACTGGAAGAACCACTTCACTCCTGAGATGAATGAAAAGTTCGACAAGTGGATGGAGGAGAAGCTGAAGGGAACGGATCTCACTTTTGTCCAGGAACTAGAGAAGCAGGACTAGAGGTCATTATGACGATCCTCCTGTTGATGCTGCTGCTGATGCTGCTGCTGCTGCTGATGATGATGTTGATGATGGAAGTCATCATGACCCGGACGCTGATGATGAGGAAGAGCCGGTTGACTATCAATGCAATCTACAAATACGTACTGCATGATTTTTCTAATCTAAGCGGGGTTAAAATGATGTAAAACGTAGACATACGAATTAACAGCTGCTTGACCTGATGGTATGCTTTATGGTACTCTTAAAGTATAAACTGAGTTATGCAGTATTCATGCTGCTGACAGCTGAATGTGACCAGATGAGCGTTTTCCTGAGTAATTTTTTATTTTAGGTCATCATTGTTCTCACTTCTCATCCGGTATTCACTCTTGGTTTTAGAGAAGGTCTTCACTTTTAAGCTCATCAAATCATGCGTTTTATATATCAGCCATCATGTTGCCTGTGAGACTGCTTCCGCCTCCCTTGCATAATGCCTATTGCATGCTTATCGTATGCAATAGGCATTATGCAAAATAACACAGAACAACTAGTGCATGGACGCGTTTTAATTATTAAATCTTCATCAGCATGACATAACCACAGAGAAAACAAGATATAGCACACACACCTTGTGTTCTCTGTGTTTCTCTGTGTTTCTCTGTTTCTCTGTCTTCTCTGTTTGTTTTCTCTGTGGTTATGTCATACTGATGAAGATTTGATAATCGAAACGAGTCCATGCACTATTTGTTCCGTGTTTTTCTACTTGTCTCTATCAATCAATATACATATTATGCAAAATGCATTGTATGCGTCATAAACCTCGGTATAGAGACGCCTATGTATGCGTAGACGTGTGTGTATCTCCGTCTATCGCGTGTTTCAAGTCGTGCTGGTTTACGAGCTTCAGAGTGATTAATATAACTGTAGTTTCTAAATTGCACGGGACGGTTGTAATCTTTACGTGCGCTTCTTGTCCCGATGGCTGTTTTCGTCCCTCACTTCGTCGTCTAAAAAAACGTTTTGTTAAATACAATGAAGTCTATCTTGAACTTGCAAAAGCTTTTTTGTGTTTCAGCTTTGATTGTGAGTGTGCACCATGTAGTCTCTCTCTCTCTCTCTCTCTCTCTCTCTCTCTCTCTCTCTCTCTCTCTCTCTCTCTCTCTCTCTCTCTCTCTCTCTCTCTCTCTCTCTCTCTCTCTCTCTCTCTCTCTCTCTCTCTCTCTCTCTCTCTCTCTCTCTCTCTCTCTCTCTCTCTCTCTCTCTCTCTCTCTCTCTCTCTCTCTCTCTCTCTCTCTCTCTCTCTCTCTCTCTCTCTCTCTCTCTCTCTCTCTCCTCTCTCTCTCTCTCTCTCTCTCTCTCTCCTCTCTCTCTCTCTCTCTCTCTCTCTCTCTCTCTCTCTCTCTCTCTCTCTCTCTCTCTCTCTCTCTCTCTCTCTCTCTCTCTCTCTCTCTCTCTCTCTCTCTCTCTCTCTCTCTCTCTCTCTCTCTCTCTCTCTCTCTCTCTCTCTCTCTCTCTCTCTCTCTCTCTCTCTCTCTCTCTCTCTCTCTCTCTCTCTCTCTCTCTCTCTCTCTCTCTCTCTCTCTCTCTCTCTCTCCTTCTTCTCTCCCCCCATAAAGCCTGGCACCATGTATGTTGCACGATGTATGCAGATGCATCCATCAGCAGAGCTATACTTCTTATACTATGTAGCTACGTATGTAGTGATCTATGCAACAACATAGCAAACACAGATGAATAAAAAGTGTGTCAGAGATGATCTATTTAGCTGTGTTGAGGAGCGGGATGTCCTTCAGGTTACTTTGCTTTTTTATTCAATATTCCGAATGGATTATGAAACCTCTGCACAGTGTAGGTGTCTGGGCTGTGCATATCAGCGAATACTGTCGGGTGTGTGGGTTACGTGTCGACTAAGACGCATACGGGAATGCTAGGTCTGCGATGGTGTGCTGTATGACAAGCTGCATGTCATCGACGCCGCTCATTCATATGTGTGTAGTTACTGGTTATCATTGTGTGTAGGATCAAAAATATGGACGTTTAAGAAAGAAACCTTTGAAGAAAGTTTGGCACACCTAAGACTTTGACCACGATTCAAGCGCTGCATATTATATTTGAGGGTGTATTAATCAGTTTTGAGATTAATCTTCCATCAGATATCATTGTTCATGCATACACATCTGCTTTTACGGAATCCATAACCACACACAATTGCAAAAGTAGCGACAATATCACATCTCAAGTTCACACTTAAACGTACATGAGTTGTGCACGATTATTACGCTGCTTTCTGTCGACTCGAAAAACGGTGGTGGTACTTGCGACGAGTTATCGCAGCGCCCGATCGTCATGGAAAGCACAGCATCTTTGCCATGCCTGCATTTCTTTAGCGGCGAGACATTGCCTCATTCCGCATTGTAGCTACCAACCATATTCATCAGAGAAATTGCGATAATCACCTTCACTGACAAGCCTTTCAAAATGTACATAAAGCTCATCTGTCCGCTCCTTCCCTAGACTCACAGTTTTGTAGCTTTGAGTGTCTAGTCCTGCTTCTCCAGCTCCTGCACGAAGGTAAGATCGGTTCCTTTCAGCTTCTCCTCCATCCACTTGTCGAACTTCTCATTCATTTCAGGGGTGAAGTGGTTCTTCCAGTCACCTGTCTTGCCCTTCCTGATGAAACTCCCTCGATCTGTGTGCATGATTTTGCCGTCCTTCATGTGATCGGCATTCACCCACGGGTTCTTCTTGAAGTTGTCGATGTGCAGGTGCTCTGCCAGCTTGTCCACCTGCTCTTCAGAGTAGTCCTTCCCCAGGAACTTGGACACCTTGCGGATCTGCGCCCTCAGGTCCTTCTTCATGTCCTCGTAGAAGAGGAAGCAGAGGTTGGGGTGGTGACGCAGGTTCCACGCCTCGATCATGTGTTCGATGAAGGGCGCCTCCACCACCTGGCCTTTGATGAAGTAGTCCATGAAGAGCTGAAAGCACCAGATGAAAACAGCTTCACTCAAAAGTAGTTAACCTATGGAGAGATCAAAACTGAGCAGGACCCAATCTTACCAATGCCGTGAATAGGATTTGGCAGCACTGGCCGGAGTTTACGGCACTGGTATCAATGATATCCTTTTTATTTACGTCCAGCTAATTTTGCCCAATGATTTGGATAGCGTGAATGATTATGAATGTTGCCCGAACGAATGAATAAATGAATATTGAATAGTTTTGAATGTTACCAAATGCCGTGAATGCGCATTCACGGCAGTTGGTAAGATTGGGCCCATGTTCCGATTGATTGATTCAGTTGATCCGATTGATGATTGACTGATTGATTCAAAACGTAAAAAGAGGTAGCACAGCCTCTTTTCCACCTACGGTAATTAGTGCCAGACATTCCCTTTTCGAAAGTTTTCTTTAAGATAAGCTTAGACTGCTGAAAATAAGAACATCGGTCTTGAATCCCAAGATTTCTGCAAAACAAACGTCTAACATTGTGACACATGAGAAGATTGTTTGCGTCATGCGCCGCAGATATCATACGAACGATGAAGATGATGAAGTTCTTCGAGAACCCCTTACCTCCAGGTCCCCAAGGAAGTCGTGCAGACGAATCAGCCTCATGTGGTGGAAGAATGAGACGCAGGCATCCTTGGGATTTCTGGCCACGTAGACCACCTTGCAGGTGTCCAACAGGCGAGGGTTGTTCAGAGAAAACGGCAGGTGCGACTTGACGAACCGCGGTGAGGGTCGGTTGGCAGCGCTAGCCATATCCATCGGCCCGCTCCGCGGGGGCTCGCCTTCTTTTGCAGCAGCAGCTGCAAACTTTGCCTCAAACTCTTTGTCGCTCAGCGCAGCGAAATCTATGAATGAATATCTGAAAATACAAAAGGGCGGTAGTGGTTCTATTAGCAGGCAATGGGAAATGCGTTCCATTTAGGCAATTCAGAGTGACAAAGGACACGTCATTCAACCATGTATCCGTAGCTGGGCGCGAAAACGTATCTAGCCATATGAATAAACTAGCACTTGTGTATCATAAATGCTGGTATGAAGGCATGCAATATCCATGTCGAACTCGTACACATAATCGAAACTATGTAGAGTAGAAACAGTCTTTGGCCCCACCTGTCTGGCATGATGGGTGTCTTGGCGCCCTCGTAGTCGAGATCGTTGGCGATCAGCCAGACCATCTCCTGGGTCCAGGTAGTTCCACACTTGGGAGGCGTCACCACCCACACGTCACGTGGGTCCAGAGGATGGTTGTAAAGGTCTTCTAGCTCCTGTTCAGTTACTGTCGCTGACAGCTTGAAGCCCCAGTGGTTGCAAGATGCGAGACCTGTAGGATTGCCGACAAAATCTTTGGCAATCTTTTTCTGATCTTCATCTTCTAGAGGAATGATCTTGAATGGAAACGGAATCCGTTCTGAAGAGCTCATCTGAAAGAAAAGGCAATTGGTTAGGCTTTTTTAATAAACACCATGGACTGCTTTCAAAGTATCAAACACTTCATGGTCGGGATACAAACGTAAGTATGCCAAAGTCCTGGTAAATATGTCTGTATTTACTGAGAGAATAGAGGTTCGTTGAAGCGCGCGAAGCAGAATGTCTGTCGGACTCAGTCAACGGGTTATCCTTATAGTCTAATATATAGTTCGTGAACACGGACTCAGCAGTGCAGGGTGTTTGGGTAACTTAAGGCACTTCGAATGTTTTCAATGGTTCAATGAACGCCACCAGAGTACACGCTAAGCAGAACTTGTCCCACGAGCTCTGAATTTCAGCGTGCGATGGCTGAATTAGAATGCCTGTCATCATTGTTATGGTCATAGGTAATTATATTGAAGGAATGCTTTTGATTTTATTTTCTATGTTCCCTCATTAAGTCTCAAAATAACTCCATTGTATGACACGAAAACAGCAGAGCTGCAGACAGTAACAAATTAGAATAATCTGCAAGTGCACTGATAGCGACGATTAGATAAAACGCTATCAACACCAATCTATGGAACAGCATTACTTGTATCCAAAAACGAACCGTTGACACCCTACCTTGATTCGTCGTCCACCGACCGACCCTGCTCTGCACGCCACCGATCTCCTTCTGCCCTGCTCTCTGCTCCCCGCCGTCTCCGACACTGCTGCGCCGCCTGGTCCGACACTTCACTACCGGTACTCGTTTTTGCGCTGAGTCATGTGTCCAAGGACAAACGAGCCTCCCGCTGTTGATGTAGAGGCGTAACCAGAGGCGGAAATGGAGAGCTGTCCTCTAAAGCGAGGGGAGGGAGGATGGACTGTCAGATGACGACTCGGTTTGTTCAGCAGGAAGGAAGTCTGCATCCTTGCGTGATGTGTATCGAAGGAGCAGAATAGGGGAGTGAGTTCTCGTCCGATTTGCTTGAACCGCCTCTGGTTGAGTGGGATGATTAGACGTTTAAAAACTCGAGAGGTAAACAAGCGCTCGTTCCGAATGGTAGGGTGGCACTGCAGCTCACTGAAGGGTACAGACGTCTGAGATAATGTAACCCTTCCTCGGTGTATCGAAAAAGCTGATCGGTCTCCCTCCCGTCCATGTCGGGCTTAGCCAAGGTAATAAGGTGCGGCAGGTTGGCGTTGGATGTGACGATACGACACTATCACTTCAGCATAACACGACACAACATTTGCAGTGGTCACTTGTGTTACCAAGTTGGATTTATTGACCCGCGAGTTGCTGGGGGGGGGCGTTAAACGCCCCCACTTTCTTCGCCGGGCCATAGCATAAAAATGGCGCGCCGCAGGCGCGCCAAATTTTAGGTACCTGTAGGGAATTGAGTGAAGTTTATTGTGACAAAGTTTCAAAAAAATCGGTCGAAAAAATTTTGAGATATCGAGATTTTAGTGACGTCATGATTTCTGACTTTTCGACCAAAAACGGCATATGTTCAAAAAATCATATAAAATCACAAAATAGACATACAGACATGCCGTAAACGCCATTAGACTGCCAATACCATGAACAATTAAATGGCTATCTTCGATTATTGATTATCGTTCCGCATTTTCCAAAATCTTGAAC